GCCCTGCCCAGGACAGCCCCAAGAACCACACCATGCGACTGAGGGTGAAAAACGTCTTTGATAGCCATGCATTATTCTTTTTAAAATCAGTTAGGTACCAGTTCATGTTGTTCCTCAAGTGCAGCTTGAAAAAACAAACATATAACTTTTATGTATAATGAGCACTGAGTAAAGTTTAACTTGCATTTAGAAAATAAATTAAATAAATCCAGCTATTCTTTCGGAGTTAAAAGAACATGGTACAGCACTGGTACCTCAGTTTTATTTCAAGAAGGACGTTGGTTACCTTCTCATGTTTGTGAACCTGATTTTGTCACAAAAGAAGATCTTCTAGCATAAAATTATATACCAATGTATAGTTTGGAAGAATCTGATTTGAACTATCAAAGATTATTTACTCAGAAATACGGCTATTTATGAAAACCACTAGTAAAATGTGTTAGTGGTGGTATACTGGAAGAGGAAAAAATACAGTTAAGACTGTTTCTATTTCCATATACAACTTTTATTGCAATACCCGTGTTCTAAGTGTACAGATACAAATATAAAATGACCCATGACAGGCTTTAAAGCTGCCCAAGTAGCGAACTGAGAAATTAATTCAGTATTATAGCCAAAGTTGACAGGACTTCAACAGGTGATAGGAAGCTTCCCCAGTCTCTCTCCAAGAACAACCAGGATCCACCATAGTTTTGGTCCAAGATGTATGCTTTAAGTTGGCAGCTGAGTCTAGGAACGAGTGTATTTACCCCAGATGTGCAGCATAAACACAGAAGCAATAAAAAGAAGACTCATGACCAAAACTGGAACAGGTCCACTAAAAATAAAGAGAAAATGCATTAACATAAAAACGAAGTCTGTCTTGCCCATTATCAGCCAAGTGAGCTCATCAGTTCATATGAAATTGTACAAGAAAACTCTTCTTCCCTTCCCAAAGAAACACCTTAAGGCACACAGAAATGAGATAGTCATCTCTATCAGAAACTGCTGCTGCTGCCACTGTTTTAAAAGACAGTTCTATACACCCTAAATGTTACATTAAAAAAGCACAACAACCCCCCCCCTTGTTAAAAAAGCCATTAATGGTTCATTATTATTCATCACAGTTTCCACAGTCTCTGGAAAAGTATCCTCTGTGTTTACAACTCAGATAGCCAACTGAGCAAAAATGCAGTCCAATATAAAAAAAACCAACAGAGTCCTCTAGCGGCTACTAAAATTTTGGCAAAAACTTCTCATTAGCTGTTTTATTTTAGAGGTTTTGTTTCATTTGAAAACAATGGCAGCAGTGGGTGAGAGACAGGACCTCTGCTTTCTTGAAAAACATACACAAAGTGGCAAAGCTACATCATTAAATTTTTATCTAAAATGAATAAATTAATTTTTTTAATTCTTACTTTCATATATTGTTTAGAAATTTCACAGTAATGTTTTTAAAAACAGGTTACTCTTATGGTCCACATAGATAATTCCAATCAGCTGTTTCATGCTGTTCTGAGATGCAACAGATACATGAATACACACACTCAACACTCCTTCATACCACTCATTTCATACAATCTCATTTTTGATTTTCAACATGCTATTGGGAAATCTGCTATCCAGCTTGTGTTACCCTCCAGGGTACAGTTTATAACCATGTAAATGCTACCTGATTACATAGGAACAAAAATGAAACTGAAAAGGGATTCAAAGAGTTTACTGACATGGTTTTTTTCTATGAGACCATGATCCACATACTTGAAATTATCACAACTGTAATCTTACATTGAGTTTTAAAACTCAATTATTATCTATCGTACTTAGACTTATTTGGGTATGGAGAATCTGGAACGCAGACATAAAACATTTAGCAAATAAACCAATAACAAAATAAACAAAGTCCACATACATGGTGACTATGCAAGCAACTCCTTCAATGGGTATCTTTCACTAAGCAAGAGAATGTAATTCTCAAACCTTAGCATTTTATACATATAAGTGTACTTATATTTTTTTATTTATGTATATGTATACATGTGAGTTTATAGCCTACATAATATAAATTATAATTTATAGTCCTTACACTGTATCTGAATTACTATTTAATTCATTTGAGCCTTCAGCAGTAGGAACAGGTAAGCTGCTCTGCCAAAGGCACACAGGAACAAAGCAGCACCACTAATCAGAAGAGAAGTACACGGAAATAAACAGTGGGAAACACTGTGTGTTCAGTGTTTTTTAACATGAAGATGACCTTGAACTCCTAGAGAAAAATCAACTCTTCAATGCTGACACATGTATCTCATTTCCTCCAGTCCCAAAGAAAACCTGTTGAAACCCTGCAATTCTCCTCCACACACCTGCATCTTCTCAGCCCAACACAAACAAATAAATGGATTCAGACACCTCTAAGTATATGATATTGTGCATTCTCAGAATGTCTTTCATAAGGCTGCATACTGTACCACAAGCACAGGGAAGCTGCCTATAGCTCTTTAAGCAGGAAGGACCAAGACAAGATACGGGAACCACAGGTAACAAGTGACCCAAAAAGACAAAAAAAGCTTGGGTTTAGTTTTCTTTTCAAAGCATGCAATATCCAAGCTTTAAAGATAAAAACATCATATCCCCTCTCAGCCAAATCCCCCATAGCTCTCTTTCACTAACAAGTGTTTTTAAAGGTACACACATCTTGAAGTATCTTGTAATGCAAATAAAGGATCTTTCCTGAGGGGAACCAACTTGCCTATTTGACACAGTTATTATTTTGAATATTGACTACAGATACAAAAACACCCAAAGCATCAATCTAATTCTGCACAATATAAGATAAATAAAACTTTTTTATCTAAAGCAAAATTCCCCTTCTTGTAGCTACTATGAATTAACCTGTTATCAGGTGGTTTTACGCATTTTTTCATACTAATGTTAAGAGCTTGCATTTTAAACAATATGAAAAAAACGCCAAAAAAGCCCACCTACCACCACTACCAGGCTAAGCTTTCCCACTGCTTTATGCAGTAGTGATCATAACCATTTCTAAAAATGGTTTCTAAAAAACAACTTCAGCTGAAGCACTTCACTGAGGCAATCACAAATCTTTCATAACCCATTCTCATTTAAAAGCCTACTAAACAGGCAGAGATAATAACAATTGGTTGCTTTGGAAAAAAAAAATCTAGAAAGCTGTAAGCAAGAAAGTTGCTACCCAGCCATGGCTCAGAAAAAGTTACATCTAGTGTGGGGTGCTTTGTAAAACCAACTCACTTTTATAGATTTGATTCTTTCATTAAAAGCACGACCATACAGTTACCCAAAGTAGCTTCCAATTAAACCACTCCCAGCACTCCAAAATCTTAAAATTGGTAATCACTGTGACACAACATAAATGGGAAAATCTGTTTACTTATCTGCTTGCACTGAAGATGTGAACAAATGAGTGGCCATTCAGCACCAAAAGTGAAGTCAAAGGATTCACAAGGAAACTTAGCAAAATTGTTAAAGGTTGTATCACAAGTCTATTAAAAAATCATAATGCCCTTCTGGGTTTTTTTCTTGTTTAGTGTAATTTATTTTTTTTTAATTGAACTTTAGGACACCAAATAACAGAGAAAACAGTTGCACTGCCTATCTGCATAGATTTGCTCTAGAACACTATTGCTGCTCATTGTCTTTGCTTTGTCTCCCTTCTGTACTCAGAATGGAGTAAGCAAGGCAGAACAGCACTACTTTGATGGTTTGCTGGATGCAGTTTGTTTTCTAAAGTTTCAAGTACATATGAAAATGAAAACACATAAGACAACATGAAAGGAAGGACTACTCATGGAACAATTACTAAATAGCCTATCACCATGCCCTACCCCAAATGTGCAGCTAGGAGCAGCCCTCTTGAAGAGCTCCAAAAGAAAATATTAATGGATTTGAGGAAAAAAACAAAGCAACAGGATCAGCCCTGAGCATCTCAAGACTTTTCAACCCAGTAAGAACAAGAGCTCCTGAACTGTAATTCTACAATAAGCACAAATTTCCACTCAGGATGTAACTTGGCATACACTCATCAGCTCAAATACACCTTCCACTTTTGTTACACAAGTATTAGGCTTAAAAGTTTGTTGGGAAAGTCATCTGAATGACTCGAAGTGGTCAAAAGAGTAAAAACTTAGGCTCTCTTTATAGTTTAAGGGACATTACTGGTATTGTCCATAATCTTGGAACATTCAACTTGTGAAAAGGGAGATATACAAGACTATTTGCTAGGCAAGTTCAGCTAAAGTAATTTATCTGCAGCTTTTTAATAAAAACACCTGATGTGACCATATGGTGTACCAGTTACATTGTATTTTCAAGGTGTGCACAGGATCATAACATAACTATTATAAGAAAAAAAAAAAAAACAACAAGATTTTTACTTAAAAGAGAACGAAAACATGCACACAGATGCTTTAATTCATTGAGACAAGTGATCTTTCTCAACTTCAAAGTGATTGCTTACAGCCTTCGAAGACCACATAGGGTAAGATTTAGCAATTGCAACTTGTACCCACCTTTTTAAAACCACTGTATCTTTAAGAACACCTTCTCCAGGGTTACAGATTAAATATGTCATCCCAACGCAGCAAGTTTTCCCATGCACACCAGAACACTGACAGATGTCAGTGTTTTATTAATCTGACAGATGTCAGATTTTTATTAATTCAAAGACTGCAAGACTGTGTAGGCAGGGGAACTCTACGGCCCTCAAGCCTGCCACCACAAGCTTTAGCAATTACAACTTGTACCCACCTTTTTAAAACCACTGTATCTTTAAGAACACCTTCTCCAGGGTTACAGATTAAATATGTCATCCCAACCATCAAGGCAGCAAGTTTTCCCATGCACACCAGAACACTGACAGATGTCAGTGTTTTATTAATCTGACAGATGTCAGATTTTTATTAATTCAAAGACTGCAAGACTGTGTAAGCAGGGGAACTCTACGGCCCTCAAGCCTGCCAACACCACCCATTCACCCAACTTACACTTTGAGCCCTGGAGAGTCCTCAGTGTAGAACCGCCACATCCCACCAGTCCCTGTGGACGTGGCACGGCCTGCACTCCTTGTCCCACAGCTGGCATTTTTCCTTTAAGGGATAACAGAAGAAAACAAAGACCGAACAACACATTAGTAGTCCACCAGCTTCCAGGACCAAGCAGCCCATGAGACTCTGCAGAAACAATATACTTCACAGAATCAAGTAGTTTGGGAACGACCTCTAAGATCATCAAGTCCAACCTATGACCCAGCACCAACATGTCAACTAGACCATGGCACTAAGTACCATATCCAATCTTTCCTTAAATATCTACAGGTAGTGACTCCACCACCTCTCTGGGTAGCCCTTTCCAATGTTCCATCGCCCCTTCCTACTGATGTCCAAGCTAAACATCTCCTGGCACAGCTTAAGACTTGTGCTCTCCTACCCTGTCACTAGTTGCCTGGGAGAAGACACAGACCCTCACCTGCCTACACCCTCCTTTCAGGTGGTTGCAGGGAACCATAAGGTCACCCCTGAGCCTCCTTTTCTCCAGGCTAAACACCCCCAGCTCCCTCAGCCCCTCCTCAAAGCACTGGTGCCGCAGACCCTTGCCCAGCAGCGTTGCCCTTCTCTGGACAGGCACCAGCCCGTGCTGCCACGTCAGCAGAGGGCACCGGCCCGGCAGGAGCTGTCCCCGCCGGGGAGCGGCGGCGGGCACCCACCTCTGCCGGACGGTGGATCCCGCGGCGCGGGGAGCCACAGCCTTGCTGGGGGAGCGGCCGGAGGAGCCGACGCTGGTGGCGCTGGGGTTGGGTCCGGGCTGCGGAGAGAGGAGAGAAGCGGGAGGGGGTGAGAGGCGGCGGGCACTGCCGGCGGGGAAGGGGCGCCTCAGCCGGCCCCTGCCTGGGGCACCCTCTCACCATGGCGGCGGCGCTGGCTTGGCTCGGCTCGGCTCGGCTCGGTCTCACACACGCTCCGCTACAGCCGCTCCGGCCACGTCCCCGTCCGCATCAGGCTCCGCCCCGCGCATCCCGGGGCCACGCGGCTTCCCCGGATACTGCCTGAGCAGCGGCAGCCGCTTATCCCCGCACCCCTCGCTCGGCGGCCGCGTTGCGAGACCGCTGCCCCCCGTGGCGCCTCGGTCGCGCCCGCTCCTCGCGCAGCGGCCGGGCCGGCGCGGCACCGCGGCGAGCGGCGCGTCGGGCAGCGGCGGGGCCGCCCGGCGGGCGGGGCGGGCGGGAAGGCCCGGCAGGAAGGGAAGCAAGGCTGACGTGTCGCACCGGCGCTGCCGGGCTGCGCATGCCACCGCGCGGCTGCGGCTATGGAGGAGGCGGAGGAGGCGGGAGGAGCGGGCCCGTCCGTGCTGTTCCTGCACCCGGACCTGGGCCTGGGCGGCGCGGAGCGGCTGGTGGTGGACGCGGCGCTGGCGCTGCGGGCGCGGGGCTGCCGGGTGCAGATCTGGACGGCGCACTACGACCCCGGGCGCTGCTTCGCGGAGACGCGCGGGCTGGCGGTGCGGCGGGCGGGCGGCTGGCTGCCGCGCAGCCTGTGCGGCCGCGGGCACGCCCTGTGCGCCGCCCTGCGCATGGCCTTCGTGGCGCTCTACGTGCTGCTGCTCAGCGGAGAGACCTTCGACGCCTTCGTGTGCGACCAGGTGCGGGGGGACATGGACATGGGCATGGGAGCGCCGCTGGCCCCACTGGAGGCCGGGATGCTGGTGGGCTGCTCTTCACAGAATGACAGAATTGTTAGGGTTGGAAGGGGCATCTGGTGATTATTACTCCAAACTCCCTGCCAAAGCACGGTCACCGACAGCAGGTGTTGCAGGAACGCATCCAGATGGGTTTGGAATGTCTGCAGAGAGGGAGACTCCACGATCCTCCCTGGGCAGCCTTTTCCAGTGCTCTGCCACCCTCAGTCTAACGAAGTTCTTCATGTGAATGTAGAAGGTCTTGTGTTTTAGTATATGGCCGCTGCTCCTCATCCTATCACTCCTCATCCTGTCACCATCCTATCACTGGGCACCGCTAAAGAGTCTGGCAGCATCTTCTTGAGATGAGCTCCATCTTTGAGATATTTATATTAATTAATCGTCTCCTAGTCTTCTCTAGGCTAAACTACCCAGTTCCCTCAGTCTCTCGTAAGAGGCATGCTCCAGAACCCTGGAGTATCAAATCCCCACAAAATGGGATTCATTATCGGGTGTGCAACAAGCCAATAAAGACACACTCAAGAGACATGGATTGTTCATTTCAGAGCTGTGCAAGCCTGGCTGCTCCACCGTGTTCCACAAATTAAGGACACCCCATCAGGCTTTCTGTACCATCTTTTATACATGGAAATTCAGAGTCAGTAACTTCCCAAATGTGGCACCTCATAATGTTGTGATTGGTTAATAATTTCCAGAGAAGGGAAGTGAAGCTGGAGGATGATCTGGATCTCAGGTCTTATGACAAGTGGCTGAGGGAGCTGGGATGTTTAGCTGGGAGAAAAGGAGGCTCACGGGAACCTTATTGCCATTATAACTGCCTGAAAGGATGTTCTGGCAGGTGGGGATTGGTCTCCCTGACACCTAGTGACAGGATGAGACAACATAGTCTTAAGCTGCACCAGGGGAGACTTAGCTTGGACATTAGGAAGAATTTTTTTGAGAGGATGATTATACATCGGAATGGACTGCCAAAGGAGGTGATGGAGTCACCGGCCCTGAATATATTTAAGGAAAGGCTGGATGTGGCCCTTTATGCCATAGTCTAGTTGACAAGTGGTGTTGTGTTGGGTCATTGTTGGGACTCTGTGATCTCTTTTCCAACCTGATTGATTCTGTGATTCTGTGCAAGTCACATATCCCCAGTTAACTTCTACACTTGCTTGAGGAAATTGTCTTCACCTGAGCAGGGGTCTTCCTGACCTGTGGGTGTGTTTTAAACATAGTTTAGCTATAGGATACATGGACCTTGAGCATTTTGCGAAGTTAGCAATGTATACATAGCCATAAATCAACGTCTTGATTTACTACATCTTTAAAGCTTGTTAGTTCCAGGAAGTCATTGACTAAGGGATGCTAGCTGCTGACAGTTCCACTGATGAGGTCTTCTTTCTTGATGATTAGGCTTGAAAGTGTACAAAGATCTTACATCAAAGAACATCCTGACTTCATATAATCTTGACATATTCCACATTTTTCAATTTAACTCTTATGTCCTGGAGCAGCTGGAGGGAGAGGATGCCATTGCTGCTTGGAATCAGCTCCCAGCACCCCTGGTAGTGGTAGAAGAGGTGCTTGGAGACATCCTGGGATGGGACCTTGGTGGGGAGCAGGGAGAAATTACAGGGCCACAAGAGGTCCTGGATGAAGGAGTACAACTTGATGTGCTTGTGTGGGGGAGAGGGAGAAGGCACTTGGCTTGCAAAGCAGCGGCTCTCTGATCATGGCTTTGAGGTCGCATGTACGCACTGGTGGCAGTGTTGTACAAACAATTAACAATTAACCTCTCCTCTTGTCTCTCTGGTTGCACTAGGTGTCTGCCTGCATTCCTATACTCAGACTGGCCAGAACCCGTAAGAAGGTTTTGTTTTACTGTCACTTTCCTGATCAACTCCTGACCAAGAGAGAATCTTTCCTGAAGCGCCTCTACAGACTGCCACTCGACTGGCTGGAGGAGTACACGACTGGCATGGCAGACTGCATCGTTGTGAACAGCAAGTTCACTGCCAGCGTGTTCAAAGACACGTTTAAGTCCCTATCACACATAAACCCAGACGTCCTGTACCCATCGCTCAACATCAGTAGCTTTGAAGAAATTGTTCCTGCAGACATAGCTGATCTGATACCGAAAAAGAAAAAGTTCTTGTTTCTTTCCATTAATAGGTATGAGAGGAAAAAGAATCTGGCATTGGCTCTCGAAGCTTTGCACGAACTTCGAGGGAGACTTGATTCTCATGAGTGGGATGAAGTTCACCTGGTTATGGCAGGTGGTTATGATAAGCGAGTTCTGGAAAACGTGGAGCACTATGAAGAGCTGAGGAGACTTGCAGCCAAACTTGATGTAAATGACCATGTAACTTTCCTGAGATCATTCTCAGATGAACAGAAAATCTCTCTTTTTAGTAATTCTGTATGTGTGCTTTACACGCCAAGCAATGAACATTTTGGCATTGTCCCTTTGGAGGCAATGTATATGAGATGTCCAGTTATAGCAGTTAATTCAGGTGGTCCTTTAGAATCAATCTCACATAATGTTACAGGATTTTTGTGTGATCCTCTACCAACCCAATTTGCTGGTGCCATGGAAAAAATTGTGAGAGATCCTCTCTTAAAGGACACAATGGGAGCAGCTGGGAGAGTGAGAGTTATGGAAAAATTTTCTTCAGAAGCTTTCTCAGAACAACTGTACCAATACATACGCAGATTAACAGAATAAAATTATATTCCTATGTTATATTTTACAATATTGTGTCTCTCATTTGTGTAGGGGACTAGTATTCATTGTGACTAATGAAGAACTAGGGATATCTGAATGTCCTTCTTTTGCTTCTTGTGCTGCCTTATGTCACTTGACACATAGAAGGAGCAAAACACGTCCCACTGTGTCATTAGAAGGTTAAAATTTTCATGTGGTACACTGCTCTGCCATTGCAGGAGTTCTTTTGTGTACTGTGCCTTGGAAAAATGCAAAGTTTAATGGCAGTAACTTACTGCAGGAAAATTACTGCATGTTTTATTTAATACTGTATGGAATGGCTGGTTCAATTTACAAAAATTGGATTTGTCCAGGTAAGACACACACACACTTATTTTTATGTATTTAAAATGGTCATCAGTAATTTGTAAGTTAATGGGCTGTCTCAGCTGAAGTACAGAGAGAATTGCACAATCCAACCAACTGCATGTTTCAAAAACCCAGCAGTGTTAGGAATATGAATGGTATGGCTTTTAAATGATAGAGCATTACTGTGCTTGTCCAGTTGCATTATGTAGTCACACTGGGTGTCAGAAGAGCACATGTGTGTGAGCAGGAGGAAGTGACACTAGAATAACAACAAGGATATCAGACTGCCTCAGGCAAAAAGGTTAGTGCTGAAAAATGAATGTTTGTTCGTTACCTGCAATGCTTGAAGACGTAATTTTACTTTGGGAGTTTCTGGTTTGTAGATACTTAAATGATTTTCCCTGTGTTTATCATTTCATTCTAAATGACAGCACACTTTAAAAAAAGGTCTTAATCTGGACCAGGCAATAAAGACATTTTATTTTGCCTACTTTAGTGGCAACTTTATGTTTTCCTGATGCAGTGAGTGCATACATGACAGTACTGTGATATTTTTTTCCCAAGCTGGTATGGGGAAAGGAAAATATTTTTTGTTCATCTACCTCTCTTTTAGCGCATCCTTATTAGTTGATGGTTCTGTTTCTTATAACGCACATAATCCATACAATTAAGTTTTAAGTGTGAAAATAGATCCAGTGAAATCCAGTGTTACCTATTAAATACAATTTGCAGTGTGGTATGAAATACAATTTGTGGTCTGAATTCTGCAATTTCTATGTAAGGTAGTTTCAGACATTTCCACATTAGTGGTCTCTTCCCAACAGAGAGACCATTTTTTTTGTTGCTTAGGACCAAAAACCACATCTCAGTATGATTATAAGGCTTTTATTTGAAGTAAAACACAAAAATCAAACAGTCTGTCACTGTCTTTAATCAAGAAGTTGGAGTACTCTAATTTTTATTTGTTATGGAGTGAGAGCACATGATCTCACAGGCCCTGTTTCCTACATTGCTATTCAATCAGAAAAACTGGCAAGCCTAAATCTATATTCTTTCTAGCCTGTTGCTGCATTTCTATTCCATTCCCACCCTTAAAAGTTTTCCTAAATCTTTGTGCAACTTTTTCATCATGGGTGTGGCCATGGATGACTGAAGGACCAGAAAACTGTGGTCAGATAAGCACCCTCGAGACATGTCTGGCCTCAGTTTTGAGTTCCATTTAGAAGGTACAAGGTGGTTGGGGCCAGTTCCTGTGCTTGATTAGTCTGTGTTACATTCTCCTCAGTT